TACCTTGTGGACTGCAGGAGGTGGATTCCCATAACTCCTGATCTCTGATATTACACTTTGTTTCAGTTCCATGATTTCTGCTTTCAGTTTCTCAAGACGTCTTAATCTGCTTGCCAGTTTTTCTCCTTCTTTGAGTTCAATGCCCCAGCCTTTCTCCCAGCCATTTTTTCGAATGTGGGCCATTGACTTCTCCAGATCACCCAGATGTCGACGCCTTATTGCGCTTTTTAAGGCTTCCCCTGCTTGGACATCCTTAAGAGTGTTTTCTGCAGTATCAATGTCATTCTTCAAACCTGCCACATACAAAGTGTAACCCCATCAGATCTTGGTTGTTACAAAGGTTTTGGCCTTGCTTTAAAGGGAAAATTCTATAATTGTCTTATAACATGTCCATGTGCTCAGAAAAGATAATTAACATGAATATAAAAGAAGAGCAATAAGGTCTGCTATATATGAAAGACACCTGTTTTAGCCAACTTCCTCCCAAATAACTATTTGCATCAGAAAAATTTTCTTTATGTAATACAGACCAATAATAAGAATCAGAACTTACCAGGCATTTTAGCAGTCTTGGCTTCCTTGATTGATCCTTCCAATTTTTCTTCCTTTCTAGATTTCACTGCCCCCTTTAAGTTCGCCCTCAATCTCTTTTCCTTGTTTGCCATGGCTTCAGCAAGAGCTTTCTTTTGTGCTTCTTCAGCAGCCTTCTTTGCTGCCTCATCTGTTGCTTTCTTCGCAGCTTCAGCTGCTAGGCGAGCTTGTTCTGCTGCTACTCTTTCTGCTTCTTCTGCTTCTTCAGCTAATTCTTCAGCCTCCATCGCCTCCTCTCTCTGCTTTCGTTCCAGCTCCTCTCTTTCTGCACGATCATGAAATGTAATGGAAAAATATACTTTCTAGTATCCATTTCCAGAGAAGAATGGTACATCAGACACACTTTCAAATAATTACACTTTGATTGCATTGGCAGACTGTGTCTCTTACAACTATGGGTATCGTTATCTTATGCTGTGACTACCATCCGCCACCAAGGAGGTCAAATGAAAATCTTCTTAGGAACTTACAGGCACAATGGATATCCCTTCTTAAGATAAGATAGTCTAAGAAGATTTTTTAGCCTTCCAATTTTTCCAGAACAACTTTAAAAGCACCAACCTCTACAACCCAGAGCCCAAAGGGAGGTTTCAAGTACATTAATTTGGTCACATGTCACTTTTTTTAAAGAATTAACTGAAGACTGGCAGTAAAGAGTTTGATTCCAGTTGCTTGAAGGGTGTAAAACACTATCCACTAGATAAATTGCTATCCGATGGATAGCACAGCTCATTTTGTTTCACTCATCTGTTAGACAGCAAGTTATCCTTTGCAATCTGATTGGCCCTTATTGGTATGATTTATTCACAAATCACCATTTTTTTCCACTAAATTCCATCTTTTTCTCAGCCAAAGAGAAACCTTCACTAAAGCATAATAGCCAATCAGATTTCAAAGCTTGTTTAATGTAACCAATCAAATTAGTGGAAAATGAAAGACAATTTTTGCAACTTTTACAAACCAGATCAGCACTGGATCAATAAAATATTTTTACAGACTAAAATACCCTGTATTTTACTGTCTGAATTTTGCAGTTTCAGAATTGATCTACTAAAGTGGCAATTGAACTACATGTTGTGCAAGTTTGGTTTTGTAATTTCAAATCAAACTTGTGCTGCGTGCTCTTTCAATTCTGAAATCACGTTGTCAGACCAAATTGCACTCCACTCAATTCAATTACCATTCTAAATCAGCAGTCATGGATCGTAGAATAACACCCCCTCCCCACCCAGGATGTAACCACAGGCTCTACCTCAGGCTTGTAATCTTAGACAACATCCCTTATAAATTTTGGTAAAAACAATTTTAAGTAAATACTTTCTTACCTCTTTCTTCCTTTTCTCGTTCCAGCTCTTGCTGTTTTCGCAGTTCCTCTTTCTTCCACTTCTGATCAGCTTCTTCCTTCTCCCTTCTCTTCCTCTCTTCTTCCTCTAGTCTCTTAGCTTCTTCCTGCCTCAGTCTTTCCTCTTCTTCTCTTCGTTTTGCTTCTTCCTCGCTGAGCCTCTTCGCATCTTCCTCATACTTCTGGCGCTTTCTTTCCTCCTCCTCTTCTTTCGCCTTCCTCTCCAGTTCTTCTTGTTCGGCTTTCTTCTTAGCAGCTTCTGCGTCGGCTCTTCTCCTTGCCGCTTCTTCTTTTCTCTTCGCTGCTTCTTTCTCAAATTTCGCCTTGTTCTCGGCGGCCTTCCTCGCCTCTTCATCGGCTCTCTCTTTCTCCCGTTTACGTCTCAACTCTTCCTCCTTTTCATTATCCTCATCCTGCCTTTCTTCGTCCAGCCAATCCATGGTTGGCATATCACAAAGTGGAACTTCAATCTCTGCAAAGCTAATTCCAGAACCGGGAGCAGCGCGACTACGAAGGAATTTGAGCCACCGGCGATGCGAGAAAAAATCGTCGTGAACAGCCTGGAACAGGAATCTTGCTTCTCTTTCACTAATGGCACCTTTATTTTCCCTGTCCAGCATTGAAAACTCCCATTGCAAGTCGCGAACGAGAAAATACCTCCGGTCCATTTCGTTGAGAACATCATAAAGTTCCTGCCTGTCGCAAGTTTCGGCCGCACAAACGGCCTCTATTGACGCTTCTACCTGCGGTAAACTTATCCCTCCATCTCTTATGTCAGAGTGTAGCTCCTGTAGTTGTTCTGCTGTTAGTTCACCCGAGAAATCTGTATCAAAGCGGTTAAATGTGTCCGTAAGAGCTTCATCTTTACTAATCCAGTCGCTTGAAGCCGCCATGTTGATTATTGTTTACACCGGAGTCCTGGACACCATGACGTCATTAATACGTATTCAACTCTGGACTGGACGACTGAATCTAATAAGAAGAACAGTGGACAATTTTCAAAGAACATTACATGTTCATTGATCCAACAAGAGAATAGAAGAGGAGGCAGTTTGTCATTATTTTTTTGTATTGAATATATAATATTTGGAAATTTGAGCTAAGTGGAAAATAGGTAGAAACACTTGTAAAACACACATAAAAGTGTTCGTGATGTTAAGGTTGAATATCAGAAGTGAGCTTCAGCTGACGTTTTAAGCAGTTTATGAGTCCGAGAATAGAAAACCTTCACGTGTTGCGCTTTGTTTATTCAAGCAAAACCTTTAATTCTTGCGTGATTTCCAAGTGTTGACGTACAAATTAACAAATGGAACAATGGTTGGGGCTGTTAAATCTGTTTATATCGGCTGAAAGAACCGATCGCGTTCAAAAAAATTAAGTATTATGGAAATGCCATAAAAAGGTATTAACTGTGAGCGGATATCCAAGTGCGGATACTTTCTCAAGAGTCTTGAAGTAGGTTTCAGTGACGACTTTGAGATCACCGAAAAATGATAGACACGTAACCTTGATTTTTGACTAAATGGTAAATGGAGTTAAGTCAATAAGATTACCCTAAAGACACGTGAGAAAACCTCGATCTTTGAAAGTGATATTGTATTTATATTCTGTAAACTCCAAAGCTTCGCACTTACAAAAACTACCAGCCTAAGTTCTTGTTCGATGAATTAAAAATCTCTTTGACAAGAATGCGTTTTTTAGCCTGTAATTATTCTCTTTAATCTCAAACACAAAAACAAAAACCGAAAAAAAAAAACATTTCTAAGCCGTTCTGTATTAATAACGCTCATTGCATAACTATCAAACCTTTTAAAGAAAAGCCTTTAATTCCTGTTTAGTTCATTAAAACACAATTATGATGAAAAAGAAACACACTTTCTGGATGTCTACCAATAGCATGAGATGAATGATGCTGCTGATCAATAGAAAGCATAAACAGTTCGGGGTCACTGCCTCTGTGGTGAAAAGGTCAGATACGTGTCATAAAATAACAAGCATGAGAATCGTATAAGGCAGACAACACAGTTGACTTTGACAGCGCTACGAATCTCGAGACAAAATGTCCTCTGCGGACGAAAATTCGGCTTTAAAAAGAAACTCTGTGCATCAAACGAGACTTAGTCTCGAACTCCAGCAGCTGGAAAGAGATAGAACGACTCGCATGCGTGAAATGGAGAAGGCAACTCAAGCGTTCGCACGGAGACAGGAACAAATTCAGGGCATACGAGATAAAGCTTCGTTGCGAAGAGTTCCAAGTGCTCCACCTGCTCAAAACTGTTCCGGTCGCACGCCACTCAGTAAAAGCGTTCTTGCATCTGATTCAAAAGAAGATTTGACCCTTCAACCATTTGTAACCAAAAACGTAAGGCTGGAAAGTGCACCCTTGTCGAGAAATCGTAGAGCACTTCACAAGACCGTGACAATGCCTTCGATGGACTTACTTCCATCGCGTAGCAGTTTTACCGGCTCATCTGGTCACTTGTTATCTGTTAGTAGCGATTCGACCCAAAAAGGAACCAGCCCGAACAAAACAGGATTTTCATCTCCGTTACAAACGCCTCCAAATGGCACAAGAGTGCCAATGTACAGTCGGAATTTCTCAGGTGTGCGACAACGAAACGAGTTAATGACAGCTAGCCTGCCACGAAGAAAGACCAGTTTACCTCTACTATCTAATGGCACAAGAACCACAAGAAGCAAATCTGTGTCGTACTAGATAAGAGAGCTCCGCTGATTAATATTTTTATAAATCTATCCTTTCTTATCATTTCCTCATGAACTCTCAGAGATATCTTGTCAACTCCTTCTAGACGGGTACGTTTTTGACACGAATGTTTTCTCTTAATTTCAAAACAACTTCTCTGAGGAGTGTGAAATAATCCAATATTGATATACTTATCTTAACTAAAGGGAGTATCGGTTGGTATATTAAACTTGAGGCGAGAATATTGATCGTTTTTATGATCATGTGGTGAGAAATGTTACATTACAATCCTCAAGAATTACCGCAAAACTGAGCAAAATCGTAAATCACCTTTGGTAAAAAATAAGACTGTCTGACCTGGTAGACTAGATGGGGATATAGTATTTAAGAGAGCAAAAGTTAGGTTGTATGGTCAACACAACGAAATTTATTTTCCCGTGGGTTCAATCTAAAGAAGCTAAGAAATTTCTCTTGCTGATATTTCTGAGTGAATTTCAGTCAAGTTTAGGTGCGAAAGTATTGAATGGCTTCTCAAAATATTGCGTGACTTTTAATTTTAGCTGTCTTAAAAATCGAGCGTCGTGAGTTCGCAAATAGACACAGTTAAACAAATTGGTTATTTTTATCTACATGAACCAATTAGAAGATCTTTCCTTTGTTGTGACATCTTAAGTTGCAAACTGTTGCACAACAGTGAAGTTGTCAAATCAATATTAGAGGAAAACAAAAGACTTATAGCTGTGTAACTCAGCGTCGTTGTTTCAGCCGGAAACAACGTGAAACGCATTAACAGGCTTTGTTTGATTGCCTTTTGCGAAAGCGATCGAGCTGTTAAAAAAAACAAGAGTTTTGTATGAAGGACAGTAATTTGTTTTTTATTGTTTTTTAAAAACAAGAGTGTGCTTTTTATTAATTCTTTCTAATATTTGTGTGTTTGGTAAAACTCCTGAACAATTGATCCATTCCTTGTTATGACTGAATAGATATACTTCAGATTCAACATATTTATTGTTGTTCTTTAATCTTGTCTACCAATTTAGGTGCTGGCGTTCAGACAAAAGATATCCTATTTATTTTACGTAGTCCAAATTCTTGCCCCCTTCCTTAGAGCAGTCAACGGACTCAGCTGAGAGTCGAGAAACAAAATAGTTTAGGATGGTACTGGAAAAGAATCGGGTTCCACGACAACTCGTCGAAGATTTCATTACAATGAAAGCAACCGCAAGGTTTAGTCAGAATGAACACTCTTAGTTCAGGCTCATTTTCCTTTTCTCAACGGAGAGGGTTCCACCGCCTTCCTCAATCACCCATCAGTCATTAATCCAATATCAAAGGATTAAGAGACCGCCTCTAGGGACAAAGTGATTATGACATTAATATTTCACTTTAATCGTGTTACTTGACGTCACAGTGAAAATCACGAACAAAAGTGTTCTGGAAGGTTGCTCCACTCAAAGTTTCAAGACTGAATAGAACCCGGCTTCTCCAAGTGCTTACTAAAATAAGTTTTTTCTCCCTCTCCTGAAAGCCCCATTCCGATTTTTTTTAAAGATTTAATACAACGAGCTTCCGTAGCAGTAGTTTAGGTTTCCTCGTAGCAAACTGGGAAAATTGTGAGTCACGCGAACGCACGTTTCTCCTGATTCAAAGGAAACGGAAGAGACTGTTAAGCACGCAAAAGGAAAACAGAACAATCACGAACTCAAATGGTTCCCTTTTGTACGCAATGGGACCAAAGGTGGAATGAAGGGAAAAAGCGAGATCTTAAAAAAGTACTAACTTCCTGACGCTCATGACAGCTTGTCTTAATGATAGACTGTGATGAACAAACAAAATTTATTTACTGTTGACAGCTTGTCTTGGTGATAGCCTGTGACGAACTCACCAAAACAAATTTATTTTGAAGAGGAACTAAGCATTTAAGATATGAAGAATACTCTAAAGGAATACAGAATACTGAATGTTTTTGTGCGAGAGCTGTGTTGTTGATGACAGAAATGTTTCCTGTTCTGCTTGCACGAAGCGACTCGTGAGATTATGACCAATTCACCTAGACGACTTATTGCAATGACATCGCAAGAAAAACGCTTACTTTGGTCACGCTTCTTGCAAATGTACACAACATTACTAATTGGTAACTCTGGGTGGTTTTTTCTTTCAGAGGACGAACGCTTTTCAGCAGTTTCAAAACAATGAAAGCACAAAACACACCAACATCATGACAAATTTGTTTAATCTCGTAGAGTAACCTTTTGGCCGTTCACCGCAGCTGTTACCGACAAAACTTGGTAGTGCGGGTGACGGAACATTGGCCTGTGTCCTTTTTTATATTTTAATGGACCTTTAATTCGTGTTGATAAGCAAAACAACGTAAAAGAGATCCAATGTCTAGCCATCTTTACTTCCGCTGAAGAAATTATATATAAGTTCCTCCAGATAAAGAGGGGCATTCCGAGAGTAAAGTGTCTTTCTTTCGAGCGCCAAATCTAATATATCTCTACGAGCAAAGTAGTATTTTTAAAAACATTCTGTATTTTTGCGCATCTTCAGGTTTTTCTTCATGTAGTACATGTAGAAGTTTATGAACAACATTTATATTGCTCTATTATATCAACATAAATCCTTTAACACCTGAGAGTGACCAGCATCCAATTTCGCCTTTCAGTGATACTGGTGAATAATTCATTGAGATCATGAGAATAAAGGGAATGAACGCTAATCTAAAAAGCTTTGATTTTTTTAACGAGTTCTCCTTATCAGTACCAAAAGAAATGTGTACAGAACAATAAGGAGAATATGCATGCTGATATCAGAGAGTAAAGGGTTAAGTGATACAATACTTGTACCCTCTAAGCTGAGAGCAATTCCTATAAACTAGACATGATAACCATGATATCTAATGTTTGCTTTACAGCTACATAATTTCCATTCCATTGACTTTGTCATATGGTTTATCATTTGATTAAATCTCAATGCAAGTACTCTTAAACTAAGCCAAGTTCTTGATGGCTGGTGCAGGACTTGCTCATTGCACAGAAGTCAGTGAGAGATCTACAACATCCTTTATAATATTTATTTTTTCCTGGGTTTCAGCTCATCTGTGCAATTTCTGAGAAAGATCTTGGGCTTGAGTTGGGGGTTGAAGTACTCATGTCCCTTGAAAGAAACAAATATTGCAGTTCAGTCTCACGATTTCCAATCCATTCATGAAGAACTAAGGAAGTATATAATTCTATAATTACCTTTGACCAGTCATAGC